AAAATTATATATGAATTCTTGAAAATATATTAACAAGATAGTATAAAACTATAACTTTAACTTAAAATAAATAATAAATTCATTTAAGCTGCAAAATAATACATAATATTAAATATCATTTTACTTCTTCTTTTTAGTTCATTGACCGTAACTCATGATAACAATTTATAATTTCTATTTGTCCATTTAGTAATGTTAAAATAAAATTCAAATGAAGTTTTTGCTGTATTTTTCAACATATTATTAATTTATTAGAATATATTTTATATTTTTCCAATTTTAGTTTAAGCCATTGTTTTGCAAATTTATAAGTGGTTTATGAAAAGAACAATAAAAGAAATATAATAGGTCTCACAAAATATGTGGATAATAAAAAATAACTTTTAAATGAATAGTCAAAATTTTTAATTGAATACCATTTATAAATTTATATCTAATCGGAGGCTAAGAAAATAAATATAAATTTGTTAAATTTGCGATTTAGGTTCTCAAGGTTCAAGTTTCAACTATTTTGGTCCATTAAGTTCCAATTAAAATGAAGGTCCTTCAGTGACCAGTACTGAAATCGGATGACACTTCGGTGACCGTCAGTACAAGTTTTAAACTTCAGTTACTGTTTTATGATTTTGACGTAACTTGAGTGACCATTTGTGAAATTAACCCCAATTCAATTCTTTAAATATAAGTGTTAACTAAGCAATTATACAATTCATTGTACTTCCCATCTTTGGATGAGATTATTTACTCTTATTATGCTTGAGGTTCGGTCTAACTTATCATGTGATGACAACTAGATCGATGTTTTAGCACTATATTATTACTCTTTCAAAATATATACATTTAATAGGAAGTACAATGCGAAAACATGTAGCAAGTTCAAAAAATAGCCCTCGAGCGATATGTCAAAAAGTCGAGCTTCAAAATCCTGCAAAGGTCCTAGCAATTGGCAAAAGAACTGAGAAACATCTTATCTTCTATGCTTGCCTACCATTCAAGATTAATGAGCTACATGTTCAATTAGTTAAGCCTGTGCATAATTGTAGTATGAATTGTAAAAATGAGATTGTGTAGAGGATGGAGGACAAGGGAGGGATTATCGATATTGCGACTCATAATACTCTGATAAGGGGTTTCGTCCGAACAGAGAAAGTTAAGACTATGTCATCGTTATCTTGAGGAATGGAGATGAAGCGATGTGTGCCGAACACTGAAACATACAATGCCTTGATCTGGTTTCTGTGAGTCTGGGATGTTGGATTAAGCTCTGGACACGTTTCACTTAAATGAAAAGATTAAGCTTAATTTGGAACGGTCACCTAAGAAATGTTCTGGTGGAAGGATCCATGACGGGTTTAAGTTCTTGGAATTGATGGGAGAGAGAGTGGGAGGGATTGGTCGCCTTAGACCTTATAATAGGCATTATATATGGTTTATATCGAACATCCATAAAGGTTAAAATGAAAAAGACTACTAAGCACTAAACCAAAATGCAATTTTATGATTTCCAAGCTCAATTGAAAAAACACACGAGTAAGGAGTTACATATAGTATAAGAAAAAAAATTCATTAGGCAGATTTTCTTAACTTAGGCTTCTCTTCATGTTCATAAGAGTGGCAGGCAAATCCATTTATTTCTGATTCCAGCAACAGCGGCTTCGCACTGGGAGTTGATAACCAGCGTATATAAACCGGTGGTGCTGCCCCGTGCTCCACCATTCCACCACTACCAGTGTCACCAGTACTACGGCAATGCCTTAGCTCTGCTGTTTTCACTTGATTCGGTTCCTCTGCTAATTTTTCATTCCATACTGAACCTGATGAGCCTTGCCTTCGGAATGATTTTGAAGATCTCTGCAAAGAAGCCATCAATGGAAAAATGAAACCGTTATTGGATTTTGATGTGAATATATGCATGGTTTTTAGGACTTTTATATGTTGACGGAAAGAGAAAAATATGAAATGAAGAATAAGCAAAAGGGTCATAATATGGAATCTACAGATACGTGGTGGAAAGGGACATTCAAAAGACTTGTTTATTTTCCTGTAGTAACTTGTGTTGGTTCTACATTCCTCTGTTTCAATGATTTAATGAACTTTGATTCTTCTTGGCCACTCTAAACTCTTGTTTTCAGCTTCTAAGAATCTCAAAATACATAAAATTACAAAATAAAAGCACAATCCGCATAGTAGAAAATGAATAATTTTAATTATAAATAATTGGAAAAGCTGTCTCCAATCAAATGGTACAGATTCTTCTAATTAGTTTCTTAAATTTACCAAACACCTAAATCAACTCCTTATTATTTAACCATCAGAAGTTGGACTCTAAATTCATTCCTAATTTGGGTCTTACCAAACATTAGAAGTCACTTTCGATAGATAATTTGTATAGGATGAGTGAATCTACATTTTTAAGGGCTTTAGAGCAAAACCAATATTGAACTTGGTTCTAAAAGGAACTTGAGAATATCATGAAAAACCAGGTACAGTTTGTTAGGAATATTGGGTCCAACTCCACCTAATAAAACCGGCTTATTAGGGGAGGATTGTCCTCACCTTATTAAGTGGATCATTTATATTTTCCCAGGTGGAGTTGGGCCCAATATTCCTAACACAGTTTGAATTGTTAAGGGATAGGATTCCACATCGAATAAAGATGTAAACATAAACCAATTTATAAAGAATTGCGTTACTCCTCTTAACAAGGTTAACCTTTTAAAATGGAACTCAAATTCTTAACATGGTATCGTAGCTCATTAAACTCTAACGAGCAATTTGATCCGGTTAAGACTTCAAAACTAAGCATACGAATTTCAAGATTGGTTTGCTCAAACGAGCCACTATCTTGCGAAGGCATGTTAAGGGATATGATCCCACATCGAATAAAGATATAACCATAAATCAACTTATAAAGAATTGTGTTACTTCTCTTTAACAAGGTTGATCTTTTAAGATATAACTCAAATTCTTAACATGAATTAGGTTTTATCTATAAAATGAAGCTGACCGAAGATTGGAAGGGAGAAAACAGAATATTTTAACTGGTAGAGACAGTTTCAGGAGCAGAACGTTGATAAGGAACGCGAGAATCAGGACCTCATCTTCAGCCCGTCTGTCTTCAAACCATTTTACAACTTTTTTCCGAGGTAGATTGTCACATGCACAATGCTGCTAGTTATGTCATTCCGCATTGAATCCATAGCGAAAATAACATAAGCTTAATGTTGAAAACTAAAATCACATAAAGAAACAAGCCACTCATTCACTATAATCTCATATAAAGATAATCAGATCCAAAAACCAAATTTGATTCCTAAGTAAACATAATTACAAATGAGTTGAACAGCATTGTAATTATAAATTTTGAAAAAAAGACAGCACTACACCAGATCTTACATGTAGTTGTTCATCACAGATTCATAATCAGTTTGTTTACCAATATTTTCAGATTTTTTTGGTGAAGGTGGTAGTGGGTAGGATCTAGGGACTGGCATGCTGTGCGGAGATGAAGGACCAAACCAGGGAGGGAGAAAGAAGGGTCCTTTAATTAATTTTATCTTTTTTCCTTGCTACCTCCTTTTATTTTTCTCCTTTCATAACTAAGAAAACGTACATTGTTTAATTAGTGTTCTCGTCTTTCTTTTAACCCTAAAGATAAGGGTATGATGATTGTTAGGTTTTTAGTGTTGGTAATTTTGTGGACAAAATGATTAATTTGTAACGTGTTGCAAAAGTCAAGGATCTAGGGTGCAATTTGTATAAATTGGGTAATGAGATCCAGGGTTCGAGCATGAAAATATAAGAAACATGACGCCGCATTTTCGCTAACTTCTCGCCTAAGTGGCGCTCGATCAACAAAAATAGAATGCCCTTTCCCCGTTTGCATTTTCGCTAGTCTCACCCAATTTGGACTCGAACGACAAAATCAGAATGGGATTAACAAGAATGGTTGGTACAACAAAATCCATCTCGTTCGTACTTTGGATACCCCATAGAAGACTGTTGAAGTTCTTAATTCCTTGAAATTCATGGGCGTTGGGGACAACAAAATTTTACCTGTCGCTCGCTTATCGTTGAGCTCTCGCTCAAGTGACAGTGCGTCGTCCGCCTGTCGCTGAGACCTCACTTGAGCAACAAGTCGATCCAAAAAACTCTATTTTACTGTTTTGAAGTATTTTTTTTCGGCTCATTCAACCTAATTATCCTCTTCTATAAATACCCAAGCCTATGCACGAAAATTTGGGTGGTTGTTCATTATGCCTCTTTGCTATAATCTATTTTCTCTTAATTTTATACAACCACGGAATTGGGGAAAATATCAAATCTATTGAATCCATAATACCTACTTCCTAAATACTTTTGGGAAGGCACTTTCTCAATTGAATTTCAAAGGTTGTTGGAGGTTGAGAAATGTTGGACTATAAGCGTAGGAAGAACACAATGCCTTAGAGCAGGTTCTTGAAATATTCCACTTGGAAAAGACAATTGCTAAAGATCTTGGAGCAGGTCTTGGAGCAGACCTTGGAGTTAGCAGGAAATAGATCGGGAAGTCTAGTGGAGTTGGCTAGATAGCATCGGACTGTAACTCACTCCGTATTGTCTATAGTGGAGGTAACTCACTTGGTCCCAAGTTTTTACCCAATTAGGTTTCTCTGTCATCAATATTGTGTTATTTACTGCTTTCCTTATAACTGAGGCAATTCAATATAGGATAATTGGACTTCTATGCTTAATAATCTAGAAACAATTAAAAGTGACTTATTGCTTTTAATTGATTAATTCCACACGTAGGGTCTAAACTAAAAACGGATAAGTAACAAGCATTCGATAACTTAAAAGCCGTTAAATTGGTAATCCGTGAACTATTAAGTGGTATCTAGTACGACAACCGATTTTTCAATGATAAATTGGAGCTTGACGAGGGGAAAAAGTACCTTTTTATGTTTGTCAATGGGATTTCTAGCTGAAGTTAATGGCAAAGACTAAAATGATTAAAACTTCATGTATAATTCTGCAATTTAGTTCAAAGAAAACGGATAAAAATTAAAATTATATATGTATTATATGGTTGCGTGTGACACAAATGTTTAATAACAGAAGATGTTTATGATTAGCTACCGGCATATATTTCTTCATATTTTCTTTCTTTATGTTAATTACTAAAAATATGTTGACGCTTTCTTGGATAATGAATGTAATGTAATCATCAATTAGTATTTTCATAGTCATAGGATTTAGATCTACAATATGTTGTCAGCCCAGAAGTGGTCTCAATAGAAATTAAACGCCAGCCCTCAGACCTGCTTCATGGGAAATAAAGATATGCTTTAGGATAAGTAGGATTAGCAATAGAGTTTGATTTTAACTATGTTTTAATAAATTAGGATTTTGCTGATGAGTTTCTGTTGGATTAGTTTCAACATTTTGAAAAGTTTGTATTTTGCTAGAAATCCACTATGAGTTTAGATTCTCGCTAACATTTAGAATATTGAAATCTTCTCCTCGAATTCTCTCTCTCTCTCAGCCTCTTTTCTCTATTATTCTGTCTTTGACTACTGCATCAATTTGGTATTGGAGCTAGCCAGCTCTTCCCTCTGACTGAAATCTAACGAAAGAACCGTTCGGAAGTCATGAAAAAGTTTTTACTGTCCGCGGGATAGTTTTTATAATATCTGGACTATGACATATTGCAGTCTAACTCGTCGAAGTCGATTTCCCTCTGCAAGGAGATATGATTGGAAATAAAGATATGCTGGGTTATAGAGTTTTGAGTTAATCTATTTTTTATTAGTTTTGATAACCTAGGGTTCCTTTGATAATGTTGGATGAGACTTCTTCAATATTTTGATAAATTTGATATTCTTGCTCTATAAAACGGAACCAAGGATTTCAATGTATTCAAATTATTGAAATCTTCCTCGCCAAATTCTCTTCTTCTATCCGTTTTATGTATCCCTTCTCTATTTCACTCGTAATATTGTTCTATGTAATAAATGAAATCTCTTATCTTCAATAAATGAAGGTGACTTGAGTGCAATGGCAGTGTCATAGCCCAAGATGTTATAGCAAGTTCACAATCCAATCATAATGTTCTGCTTTTATGTCTTAATGCTAGCCTTTGCTTAATCAAATGCAACAAGTACTAATGCTTTGTTATGTTAGGCCATTTCCTCTAAATTCATTGTAGCTCAGGCGAACTCTTCAACAAATTTCAACCCCTGGGCTTTTTTGGTACTAGGGTTTAATAAATTGGCTTCTGTAGTAAATTGATTTTTCTCTCCTCCCATGGACATGAATAGTAAACACTACGAGAACCATACTTTCATGACCAAAGTGTAATAAACTTGGGGAAGAAATATTGAGCAAGGTGACACAGAAACTGCTGTATTTAGAATACTGGAATTTAGTTATAATCACTCGAGAGATCCAAGGTCCCAGTGATGCCTACTATCTGGTCTTTGCACCCTGAAGACTAGAAAATTCAAACTGAAAATTAGTTGAAGGACTAGAAGAGTTTGACTCGGGTTACACCATGCTGAATGGGTTGCAAAATGTCTGCTTGCTAGCAAGTGTTGGTGAAGGCAAATATAAACGGGGACAATGCAAAGTTTAATCAGAAAATGCTCTAAGGATCACCAAACATTAACCTAGGTACATGGTAAAAGATGGGACTTCAGTTGGCACAAAAATGGAAGAAGGTTTCCTTGATGCTAAAAAAATAGAGAAAAAATCGTACCTGCCCTAGAAGTATCCCTAGGCATAGAAAGCTTAACCAACCTCACATTTGGCTGATCTTTAGAAAGGAGAAGAAATAGAGAAGAGAGGTAGAAAGAAGGAAGGAAGAAGAAAATTTGGGGACGAACATA